ACTGGCAGTTTGAGCTCCTGAAGGCTGTATAACTTTCAAACAAGTCTGGGTCACTGAATTTGTTCGTTAAGCATCGCCAGAAAGGAAGGTGGTACATGTGAAGGCAACAAATTAGAATGAACCAGTAAGAGCAAATGCTACCTTCTCATTGCTGAGCTTGAGTCCCCCTCTAATCAGTCCGGCTTCTAGCCTGGCTGGCTGCCAAAGCTAGAGAAATGAAAGGTCTGGCCTCCGTTTGCTGCATGGCAATGATTTGCTTTTGTATGGCATTCTTTTCTCTATTTGTAATCCACCCTAAATAAATATGCATAGATTTTTTTTCCGTTAAGTTGTTGGGTCCATAAATGAGACATGAATCTGTACATTGATTAGAAACTCAGTAAGGGCAACATGTAATTTACAGAAGTTCATATGATAAAGTTTCTGCAGTGTACTGCAAGCCAGTTTGGGACCATGTGGTAACATATTTACTAGTAACATATTTACTCCAGTAACATATTTACTACTTCTATTTCAGCAACCTCTTAGAAATGAAGTCTGGGACAGAGTTAATTTTGCTGGCAATCGGTTCAGCTTCAATAATTATTGCGCATTAGTATTTTGACATGGTTCAGAAATATATATTTAATTCAAGATAAGTGTTACTATGCAATAGGTATTATTATTTCAAACATGGTCAGGCCTTGCACCTGATACATTGCTAAATATATGAAATGTTGCAAATGCTCTGTGCAGATGAGAAATCAGAAATCAGGTTAAAGTGTTACCAAAAGGGAAAAAAATGTGAGAGAAATGTAGCATTTCTATTACTGTGTCCAATTCTAGATTAAAGGCCAGGGAGAAACATATGTTAATCTTATTTTCATCAGCAGGAATTTAAAAATCTTACTGAAATATTTGCCATAAGAACCACCCACTTAAAGAACCACAAAGTTACACAAAGATAGTATTCATTTTTAAAATCCATAGCACTCTTTAAAAAGAACTTCAAGATCTTCCCAATATCTTCCCTGCATATTAAAGCAATAAAAAAGCACCTTAAACAACAAACGGGGCGCTTTCCATTTTGATAAATTTGGATTCTGATAAACTTTTTCAATAAAACTGGGCAGTTATATATTGGGGATTTGTTTCATAATATTCTGTTCAAGAAATTAGGTAAGAAACTGAGCTTGAAAGACTTGTTAGCCAAGATCATAAAGATTTCTTTTCATCAAATATGATTAAACTGTGTCGCTGCACTGATATGAATGACTGCAAAAAGCTGGGGGAAATGCCTTGGAAGACATACTACCGAGTAAGGGCAGAAATATGCATAGGAACAACAATAAAAGGACTCGCCTAATAATCTGATGGAAAAACCACTGAATTCACAGCGTTTATTTGTGATGATTACACACACACACACACCACCCTTCTAAAACTTTCTGTTCACAGATAAGAGACACAATGAATTTGGCTTTAGGCCTGTATAAATTTATGGAACTGATCATAACTTCCTCATCCTTCTATTTCAGTGTTCCTCATATTCATCCAGTTTTACCTTCTTCTTAAATATTTATTTCTTCCATGACGAGTTTATGCCACACAATAAAAGCTTACTCTGTTGAAGGCTGCCAGCTACTAAGTCCTGCCCCACCCTTACCAAACCAAGAACTTGATTCATTTGCTGGAGAAGCCCACGCTGTGGGAAGAAAGTAGGTGGCTATTTTAACTTGTAGGAGTTACGTAGCAAGGTACCAAGTTTGTGGGTTGAGTCTGGCCACACACAGTGACTAGAATTAGATCTGTGGAAATGACTGAAGGGGGGAATTATACATCCATAGATATGGGCATAATCAGCAAATACAAACGATCGTCCTCAAAAATAGTTCTCACTGGAGTGCCTGGCAATGGGGACAAACATATGACTATCACTATGCCTTGCTTCTCGGCTTCCAGAAGCCACTGACTTATAGGGTGGAAGCTAGACACTGGACTAGATGCATTTTATTGGGATCGAGTTCTCACTACCTTTTCCTAGCCGTGATCTATGCCCCACACTCTTCAGCCATGTCCTATGTACTTTACTTCAGCTGTGAATCCTTAGCTGTACACCTGTGCAGTAGAAGACAGGATTCCACATCAGCTATCCATTGCATACTAGAAGCTACACTGTATTTGTAGCATATTCCTTCCAAAATACTCTCTCCAGAAATATATTGCATAAATGCTCTTGAATGCATCATGATTGCTGATGAATATGGCAAAGAATAGAAGCTTCAATCAGGAATTGGCCTACACACACAACTATAGATGGTTGTCTATTCCATAAGGCAATGCAAATTCTATGATCTCTTTAGATTTTGTTCCTATCTTGTGAGAAGGGTTCAGAAGAATTACGATATATTTTTATTTACTATTATCCTTGATAGCAGAGATTTTAAAATTGAGCTCCCTGTGCCTGAAATATGAGTTAACTAGAATCTTGGTCACACGTAAGAGCAGATCTGACCTGTGGAAACAGTGAGGCATAACTCAATCATGACTAAGTCCATACATTAATCTGCAACCAACAGAACATGGAACTTAAATAGTAGAGATGGAAGATGGTAAGACTGGACCTGCTAATTTGCAATGAAATATGACTTTGTTTACCATATTTAGGCTTAACCATTTTACAACTTAGTTCCTTTCAAAGAAATGGCATGTTACTTCATAATTAAATAAGAATTAATATTGCCAATCACAGTAATACTATTGCAGATTTTTTGGAGGGACGGGGGAGAATTCAAGTAACACCAGTATCTCCAACACCTACCCATTCTTTGTATGTAATTTATATGCAACAGTGGCAAAATCTGAATGAATCAGTGCCTTGGGAGTGATGCAACTTAGGTTGCTATAGTTCTCCTTAGTGGATTCCCCAGCATGTTCCTGCTGTTTAAAAGTTGCTCACAACTGTTAAAGAGGATCTGGAAGAAAGTGGAATTCAGGAGGAAAACTTGCAGGGGGTGATTACGAGACACGCTGGAAATCAGCTGTCCCCACCATCACATTTTAAAGAATGATTCACATTCCTGCTGTGTGGTTTGCAGACCCGAGAAAGTCTACTTTAAAGGCAACCATGACTCAACATCTAGCAATGATAGTATTTGTTTTTAAAATATATACACTCAATCATTTACACCTTTAAATTATGGCTACATATTCAACACTCATTCTCATCAAAGGCCTGTGAACATAATTCCTTAGGAAAAGCAACTGAATACTTCACCTCGCTATTATTTAAACTATGCTAATAAAGAGCAATGCAGTATCTAATTGCCAGGTAGGTTTTACCCCTGCATGACTTAGCCCCCTAAAGAATGGGTGATGGATGATCAGCCATAATATATTTAACTTATAAAAATTCAAGAAGGTGCACATTACAAAAATTGTGGTTCTGAAAATACTGTTATGTTGGGTCAATTGTCCTTTCAAACTCTGAAATGCTTTCACTTGAGGAGACAGAAGTATTGCTCACACATGGGAAGTACAAAATTCCTTGAGGATGTTTTACTGACCATGAAAATCACTGACGGGGGGGGGGGGGGACACCCAGGATTTCACTTGCTTTTCTTGTGCAGATTTGTGCTCAATTAACTTAAAATCCATAGCATGAATCAGTATGCTACATAGGTTAAGATGCTAAGTAACTGCTAGCAAACACATCTTCTCTAAACTGTACATGTAGCTTGCAAAACATTTCAAGACCTTATCACAGAGAAGAAAAATCCAAACCATATAAGAATTTTCTTCCTGATATCCAAAGTTCCTCTCCAATAATTGCAAGGGAAAGAATCCCACTGAAGTGAGTATGCTTGAGAGAAAATGTTCTCTCATTTCACAAGCAAAAGAAAACACCCTTCCACACAGGTCAGAAAACCTGCCTGTGAAGGTGTTTTTCGTATCTATAGACACCAAAGAATGGGCCTTAAGTCCAAGTTGCCACCAAAGTCCTTGAAGGACTTGATAAAGGAGGAATGAAATACAAAGTGTCTATAGATACGAAAACACCCTTCCACACAGGTCAGAAAACCTGCCTGTGAAGGTGTTTTTCGTATCTATAGACACCAAAGAATGGGCCTTAAGTCCAAGTTGCCACCAAAGTCCTTGAAGGACTTGATAAAGGAGGAATGAAATACAAAGTGCCCTTTAGAAACATGCTCCATCACTTCAGGAATCACTTATTGACCAGGTCAGAAAAAAAATCCTACCTGCCAAACACACACTAATTAAGAGAGCTATTTTATTACTGACTAGATGTACCAAATTATTATTCTTAAATACAGTTAATTTGTTTAGAAGGTGTCAGCCTGTAAAATAACGTAACCTTCTGTACACTTTAATATATTAAATCACTGTCCATAGCGTAGCTCTAGAAGACTCACACATACCAATTTTACAACTCTAAAATAATCACACTGTTGCAAGCAGGGGTCGCCAGCCAACTTACAGTCCACGGGCTGCATGTGGTCCTCGACCCAATTTCTAAATCCTTCATGCAACCAGTGATATTTCTGTACTCTGCCCATTTCCAGGCAGTCCACTGCACACTAAGGGGGAGGGGAAGGGGAAGAAGAATGACCTACCTATTCCTGGCTCTTGCTCTGCTCACCACTGGCCTTAGACTAGCTCATTGCCAACACATGGCCACTGACTAATTACCCATGAAAGACTGCAGGAATAGAAAAAGGGTTTCCGCCCCTGACCAAAAGTAGCCACAAGTCTGGGCACTGTGCTAAACAAGGGTGCAGACACTCCTTTAACAAAGGTTTTCCCAGCCTAACAGAAATTAAACCTAGCTCAAGAGGTAGCAACCAAGCACAAGCAGAAAATATGTAAATTCTTATTCAGTGCATTTCTAGCAGTATATATGAATATGCAACTTTTGGAATACGATTTTTGTTTCATTAAAGGCAATTAGAATAGTTTATAGAACAAGACTCTACATCATGATCTAGAGACAAGCCACTTACCTTGGAAATTAGTTCATCATGATTGGCCAGATGAGCTCTGCAGTGGATACAGCTGTAGGTTCTGTGACAATTTGGCAGGTAAGCCTGGAACGTTTTGGATTTTGTCATTTTTACCATCTCTGTTGCTGGTTCCTCACTCTGATCAGGGCTGGCACTTGAAGAATTACAACTCTGCTGAACTTGCTGACAAAAGAAACACTGGAAAATACAAGCAAAAGCCGTTGTTGTTCTGGAGTGTGTGTGGCAGTTTCCACACAGACGCCACAGAAGAAACAGTTATAACCTGCAACAAAAGGGGAAAAAAGTATAAGCCACGGCACACATTTCTAACCAAACATTCACTTATCATATACAACCAGTAGAATGATCAAAATATAATGTCACATTTGATTACATAAAAATATCTCCCATGAATCAATAATGTGGTGTTCCTGTGTGAGTACACCATAGGATCCCAAAAGGTGGCATAACAGAGAGAGCCCTATAAATCAAAAGTAAATTTGGACCAGACCTGCACATGCATATTTCCTTCATGCAACAATAGAACCTTCAGCAGATGGCAATGTGTAAGCACAACCACAGGGACCAACTGTGGGGGAACTGAACTGGATGAGCAAGAAGTAAATCCAAGTTGTTTCATGTCAACACAAAGAGCTGACAAGTAGAATTTTCCTTGACCAGCTACTTCATCTTCCTCAGCCTTGTTAAAGAAAAGGATACGAGTGAGAAGGTGAACTGAGGTTTGAGCAAGGGTGGAGGGATTGCCTTTCATTATTGAAAGGACTGCAGGGGAAATAGATTAGGAGGATTTGCATCCTAAAAGATCATTTCATCTGGGGTGGAAGATCAGCAACACTGATACTAGTATCATATCTTCATCATGGGTTTTTCCTATTTACTGAGATGAATCTTTCCGTATAAGAAATACCAGGTGTGAAGTATATACCTGGAAGATGCAGGAATGAAATATATAGTTTTTACCATATCATCACAGTGGCCATTGCCTTTTATTCAGTCTCCAGGTTTGACAAATTGGTGCAATTATAAATATTAGCGCTTAAATATTATCCTGTTTAAGGCAGGAAATTGTTGAATGTGGAGTATGCGGAGTGCTCTGTTAGTGTCAAGTGCTGGCCACAACACTTCATTTCCCTATGGTCCCCAACAATCAGTATTCTGTGTCCATTGAGTGTGTCCAGACCTTAGGGGACTGCATAGGATTTTCTATCCAAATGTGCTTCCTCAAGCTTTTACCACTAGAAAAGCAAAGAGGTGGACCAGAACATACTTTGTCCCAAGGATTCCAAGTCCACAGATAGCCGATTTACTGAAAAAGTATTTTGACCAGCATTCTGCAGTAACAGATTATATGACTTCATCCTTGTTACTATATAATGCTCGACAATATAGTTGTGTGCTCTTATTTGGGATTTATAGTTCTGGGATAGTCTCTTGCCTCTTACCAAAACAGTTCCTGCACTTAATTTTAAAAACGTGTTGTACATGTAAGATTATAAGTACCATGTCTGGCTATTCTTTCAATTTCTCCGTCGCAGTGGAATAAACATTTATTTACAGTGACAAATTCATAAGAGCCATCCAGTATGAGCCCAAAACATGAAGGTTTACTGCCTAATTCAATGCAAAATTACACAGAAGTACATCCCATAAAGTTTAATGGGGTTTACTCAGTAAAGTGTATTTCATACATCAATGTCCCCATTGGTTCTTGGCTTTCCCACATATTTTACACTTAAACAATGTTCTGATAAATAAAAATATTGGATGCTTAATATGAAAGCTCTTCCTGAGATTATTTTTATGTATTTGATTTATATCCAAAGAGGGATTTTTTTTCCTTTTTAAGGAACTCAAAACAGCTTCCATCATTCTCCTCCTGCTGTTCTCAATCTTATCCCCACAACAACAGCTCTGTAAGGTAGGCAGGGCTGAAAGTCCATGACTGGCCCAAAGTCACCCAGCTGGCTCCATGGCTAGGACCACACTCTTAACAACTACACCACACTGCCTAAACCAAAAGCACAATTTATCAAGGCAACCTGTCCTTTAAAATATTAGCAATGGTAAATAACACACCTTAAAAAGACAGCTTGCTTTCCACTGCTGATCATTCTCTGGAGGGCATAACTGCAGGGGAATTTCTGCATGTTCTCAAGTGTATTTGCACTGCAACACACTCACACTAGGGGGCACAATAAAGTTTGGCCAGAACACCATATATAGTTTTTGTGTGTGAATGCATCTCTAAGAAATCATGCCTGCATTCTACAGCAGAAAGACAAGGTGAAAAGAACTGGGCAAAAATTTGGAACCCACTACTGTGGCAGGAGGAAGGAGAGACTATGTTCTTGCCTCCTCTCCAGAACCAACACGTCACTATATTGCAATAAAACATGGTATAGCAATGCCAAACCTCAGTGCTTTAGCATTATATTAGGCATTGGCAGAAGGTACCTCTGGATATACTGGAAGATCTCTGAATGATTAGTAGCTCAAGCAAGGCTTTTGACTCCTAAAAGTTTAACAATACCTACAGAAAAACTTTCTCTGTTTCATTTCAACTTATGCTGCTGAAACAAAGAAAGCCTGAGGTAAACAGAAGTGGATTTTTGTGGGAGGGAAGTTCTGGCACTCAGTTCAGATTTACTTTTACGTGTACCTCTTTTGCACCAGGATCCAGTTGGTGAATTTCAGGGCTCTAATAAAGTGAACTGACTAAGGCTTACAAAGGCCCTGCTTCAACAGCCAAGTAGAAATACACAGAATTAAACAGTATCACAAGAAATACGGTACCCTGCTGTTCTACTCTGAGGCAGTTTCAACACTGCAACATATTTCCTGTCAAGGCTGCAGATTGGCCTATTGAGAGTAGCTTCATAGGTTCCCTGACTAGGGTGGTCAAGAAGGCATTTGAATTAATCCGGAATTCCCAAGCTTTCCAGATTACAGAGCATATCCTTTAATGTATCTACAGTAGACAACTCATAGATCAATGAACCTATGAGTTTCAATAAAGGTACAGAGCCTAGTATATACCTCCTCTTGTTCATAATATCCTCTTGTTCATAACAAACTCAACGTTCTCCTGCCCATACATCTTTTCACTGAACAAAGAAGGTATTAGACAAAGGGATGCCAACAAAATACTAACTACATTTGTACAAAAACGCATCATGTCCGAGCTCCTTAGCAACATTATGCTGCTTGTTTAAAAAAGCAAAGTCCTCTTCCTGTTCCTTCTGACAATACCTTAAAAAATAAAGTGAATTTCAATCATTTTAACTATAGTGCTGCACAACTCTGGTATTATATTCCAAACCCTAAGTGGCAACATGATTCAAAAGTCAGAAGGGACTGTTCTTTAAAAAAAACAACATTCTTGAAGTTGAAGCTGTAAATAACATGATGGAAATGAAAACTACAACCTGCCAATGGCTACTGGCCATCCTCCCGGTCTTCAAAAGGCCAAAGAGACCACCATTTTTATCAGATGTACAAATAAGAGCATTTTTAATATGATCTTACGATTCATACACAGAATTTATGCAATGATAGCTCTTCTGCCTACTAACATCACTGAATGTAGGGCATAATCTTGGTGGTCAAGCACCCACTGCCAATCTAAAGCATAGTAGGTTGTCCTTACTCTGTACCCGAATGTATAATCAAATAATTAAGCATGTTAGCTGCAAGTGAACAAGATCTGCATGCACTAGACCTACAAAATACTATGCTGGCCACCAACCAACAGTTAGACAGCATATTTCAAAAATGAAAGCAAGAGATCATTTAAAATTACTGTATAGTATTTTCCATTTCTATCTTAAATATTACTTTTACAAATGTCTCCTACTATTACAAGTCTTATTTTCACTGTAATCTCTTATCTTGAGCCTTCCCATGAGGTCAGTTAACTGTAAAGAACCTTAAAGAACCAATAACATTCTAGACTATATCACATCTATACATTCCAGTTAGTTTAAGGTATAAGACGACACTGATTTATTCCAGATAGTATGAAGTCCTTTCTGTGAAAACACATTTCCACAAAACATACTGAACATTCACTGGATCATATACTTGCTAAATTTAAAAAACCAAAACAAAAAGAGGTTTCATGCAGACTCTGAACCATTACATTGTCCTGATCAACCTCTCACCAAACATCCAGACCACAAAACAATACTCAACTGCCTGATTTGATTTTCACCAAAGCATCTCTTCTCTCTCTCTCTCTCTCTTTTTTTTTGGGGGGGGGGGGTTGTTTACCAGTTTTTATCTGAAAAAAGTGATATTGAAGTGCTTGTAGATAAAGTAAGTTTTCATAGCAAGAGAAAGAAAGAAGCACATTATAAGAGACAGTCCTCTAAAAATAGACACCTTCAGCCACTTTGGACAATACAGCACCTGGGGAAGGGAAGATGAATGTGTACTGGCACAGCCCCAGACAGCCTCCCCACTCACAAAATCAGCAGCAGCCAGCTTCTACCACAGCCTGTCAGCAGCATTCAGATTATAAAAGAAAGCCAACGGTGGCTGCAAATCAGATCTGTTTGTAAACAGTGCCTAAACAACCGCAACAGGGTCTGATCTAGCTTGCAGGAAACCACATTTGCCTCAGCCTGTCTTCTAGTTGTGATGAAAAGTGAGGGGATCATGGAGAGAGGGAAAGGGTGCTTTTCCATCTTCCCCACTCCGGCTTGGGACTTCAGCTAGAAAATATTGTGCAAAGCCTCCCCACTAGCACCACCAGTACTCGGGTCAGCACCAGGAACAAGACATTGAACAAAATGAGAGACTTCATGTAGCAAAAGCCGTGAAGGCCGACAGAAAAAGAGCAAGTAAGCATGCCATTAAACAAAGCAAAACAAATAAAAGCAGATCTACTCCTGTAGCTGAAGCGAAACAAAATTTCTTTACCTCTGGGGCCAGTTGGTTTGAACCACTGAACAGCAGCCTGGCAGACTCAAGCACAGCCAGAATCTGGACAACAGACAGCACGTACAGACAAACCTCGCCTCAGCATGATCGTCACAGAAAAATATGCAAAGCTGAGAAACAGGCAAAATGCCACCCACCCTACACTCCAGTTCCAAACCACCAAAGACCTTGCAAGGGAAGCCTCACTAAACTGACCTGAGGATGTTTACTGTTCTACTGCCTCAGATAACAGATTCAAAACCTGCCTGCATCTTTCAAGGATGCAAGGATCTGAAGTAAACATACCTTCTTCGTGCTGCACAGCCCTAACGTATGGGGGATGACAGGGGGTTGAATAAAATTACTCTTTATACAGCACTAACACATATATAAAAGGATTGATCAGATAGGGTCAAGCTCTCATTCCCCTCCCAGTAGCACTCTTCCATAATAAAAATACAGCATCTTGCAACAAAATTATTTTCTAAACCTCACAAACACTACCCCTTCATGAAAGCAATGATTACCTCCATACAATGCAAAAGTAATGTCCTCCAACTACCTTCTCAGAGTGATCAAACAAGGGAT